GATTAAGATTACGATAAGGGGCCGTAGAAGGGAGAGTGACCGAAATGTGGCGCAATTTGCAGGCAGCTGCGCAGGACCGTGATTTCAAGAAGTGATATACATGCAGGACGGGAACACTTTAGGTGCGTGACAGGAGGTGATAACACTTGATAAGATCCGCATAAGGGGCCTTAGAAGGGAGGGTGACCGAAATCGTAGCGCAATTTGCAGAGCCTGCAGGACCGTGATTTCAAGAAGTGATATACATGGCAGGACGGGAACACTTTTGGTGCGTGACAGGAGGTGATAACACTTGATAAGATCCGATAAGGGGCCTTAGAAGGGGAGGGTGACCGAAATCGTAGCGCAATTTTGCAGGCAGCTGCAGGACCGTGATTTCAAGAAGTGATATACATGCAGGACGGGGAACACTTTTGGTGCGTGACAGGAGGTGGTAACATCCATAAGGGGCATTAGAAGGGGAGGGTGACCGATTTCGTGGCCAAGTTTGCAGCAACGGCGGCCGTGATTTCAAGAAGTGATATCATGCAGGCGGGAACACTTTTGGTGCGTGACAGAGGTGATAAAAACTTGATAATGATTCATAAGGAGGGAGGGTGACCGAATCCGTGCAAGTTTGCAGCACGTGCGGACCATGATTTCAGGTACTGATATGCCGTAGGGTGGGGCTGGCAGAGCTGATAACAGTTTGATAAGATCCGATAAAGCGGCCTCGGAAGGGAGGGTCATCAAATTCGTGGCGCAGGCTACAGCAACAGTGGGAACTCAGACCCGTGAGGTGATATAGGGTGTGGGACGGGAACATTATTGGCGGGCGACAGAACGTGATACAGTTAATTAAGATACGCGTAAGCGGCCTCTTAAGGGAGGGTCATCAGATTCGTAAACGCAGGTTACAGCAACAGTGGGACCTCTGATCCGAGAGGCGATACAGGGTGATATGATAGTGATACGGGACGGGAGTGTTATTGGCGGGTACGGAAGTGATAGGAGCTAAAATTGACAAGGTAGCATGGGGAAAATCCGCTTCACCGCTCACAACAACAATGCGATCGATATGACTCAAGTATAACGATCTCAGTGATTCCCAACAGAACTGATTCCTCGCTGCTTATTAGTAACGACATCGTGTACGACCGCTAAGCCAGCTCTATTCCAAATGCATGTGGTTTGTTTACAGAGATGTTTTGAACACCAGCAACTGACTTATATTTTTCTTCCACAATTATCTTCCATCGACAACTTCAGTGAGGGCCATTTAAAGGGTTCCACTGCTGAATGCGGTAAGTGCATTCCAAAGCAAGACGCTTTAAGGAAGACAGATTGCATAAATTATAGGCTGCTTCAGTGGCTGTCCAAACAGGCTGCACTATTTCCGTGTACGTATTGAACGTACAGTCGGATCGCTGGCTAAGGCCGGCTTTCTCCTTCTGAGATGCGGGGGGGGGCGCTGCTGCTCTTCTGCGCCTTGACGGAACAAGCGCTGCTTTTCAGTTCCTGGCTGATGCAGAAGATTCCTTTGAACGGTGGTTGGTCAACGATCCTTAACTTAGCGCGCGGCCAATCGCCATGTCACAGAAGGAGGAGCGCCCGGCGACAGCCGGGCGATCCGACTGGTGTGCCATAACGCCCGTACAATACATATCTGAACTTCATACCCCCCCCCCCCGCTCGTCGACCTTCACATTATATAGTAGGATAGTGGAATGAGTTCATTTTCTAGTGCTATCAGAGAAGTGATGGCCAAAGGAAAGACTTGAACACTGAGCCTGCATTGTTTGGCAGTTTAGCAGTTTAGTGGCCACAGACGTCGTGAGAATTTCCCCTTATACTTTCTTATACTGATAAGATTGCTTGTCACCCGGTATCAATATCGCTATCACTAAAACTCTATAATTTGGTAGTGTAAAGGCTCCGGTTACTGACTAAACAACAACTGCAACGCTCCTTATCAGCCCCTATCAGCTGGTAACAGTCCCTGTCACCTACCAATAATGTTCCCATCACAGCCCCCCTTTACTCCTTGGAACTAACATCCCATTGTTGCTGTGACCCTCGATATGGACTCAGTGACCCTTCCCCTCTGACGCCTCTTATCAGCAGATATCACTCCCTGTCACCCATCGATAATGTACCTGTCCCACACCCTACATCATACCTTGGAATCAAAGTCCTGCTGCTGCGTCCCGCGTTACGAACACGGTGACTTCCCCCTTCTCAGGCGTATTCGGATCTTCTCAACTGATATCACTTCCTGTCACCCACCATTAGTGTTCTCTTCACACCCCCTACATCACTTCTTGAAATCAATTCCCATTGCTACTGTTACCGGCGCTATGAATTTCGTGACAGACAGACGCACGGACACACACACAAATACATACTTACTTAGCGAATTATATATAGTAGGATACTAATGAGTCACAACATTTCCTACGAGGCACGTCCTGCAATTAGGGAAAAGTTTGCAACTTTGAATTTCGGTTGGCGGGACAATCTGGGAGGCTTTAGAAGTGCCACTTATGAGCACCGTCGTTGCTTACTGTGAAGCCGCGGAAGTGGGATAATCTTAGAGCCTGTTTACCAGGCTACTTGTACCAGAAAGAAAGGCCACGAATTACTATAGCGCGAAAACTGTCTCACACGGCAAACAGGTCAGTAGAACGACTTTGCGCGAGATTTTGGAGGACAAGTGTTCTTGATGGTTCATTTCACATATTTGAGCCTTTATTCCATCACTAAACACTTTTACATGCAAAGCCGGATAGAGGGCCCAAACAGGGATGCCAGGGGGCCAAGACAGTCAACGGCGAAGAGAAAATAGAAAGAAAATTCGTAGACATTGCCCCAAGTAATATCACCTTGCAAGTGCATTTGTATGTACGAGCAGAGGCCGAGCATATTGGACATGACCACCAGTCAGTGGTATTGGAATCAAACGATTCCCACAATTGTTCCTAGTTTATTTCTTGCTGACAACAGTGTTCCTGCCTACTTCCTTTGTATGCTTCTCTTACTACAGCTGGAAGGGGTCAGTGACGTCAGATGGGGTCAGTGACAGGAACGACAGCATGAGTGCCATCGTCACTTGCTTTTGTTGTTCAACAGCTATCACTGCGCACCAGGCTGCTTGCTCGCTGGAGAAGTGCAATTTCTCAAACGACAACTGCATCTTTGGAGACGAAATTCGGAAGAGCTAGATAGCTTGCTAGTGGAGGAAATATGATCTAGCTCGCTGCGAACGAAGGGGTGGGTCAAGCGGGATAAGTTTGGCGCGGCGCTAAAGCGGTCCTCCACCAGTTGTTGACGCGAGAAAGTGACAACGCTGTACTAAATCGTTCGTATTATTCGTTTTCTTCCAAACGTGTCGCATACCTGCTTACAACTAACAGAGAGCGGGTTTGGCATGTCCACTGTTATGCCCCTCTTCCACAGCGAACTAGAGTATACACTCCTTATCCCTGATCCAGAGTAGGCGTGGCATTTGGACATGGCACTGAACTGGTTACTTGTGGAATATTCCATTCTGGTACAACTGTCAGCTTGTTCTGTGTTGGACAGAGACACGACAACAATTGGGTCAAGATGAAAATATCTCACCAGAAGCATAGACACCTGCAGGTTAAGTTGAAGCATGAAGCCACGCCTACCTATCTCAGGGATCTCAAGTATATGTAGCATGAAGACCGCACCAAATGAACTGTTAAGATCCCATCTCTCACAGAAAAAACGTTTATATCTAAACATAAACGGTGTAAACTGTTTCGGACATCTGAATTAATAAAAGATTTCGTTGATGAGGTTTGAATCACTGAATTATATAGGACAGAGCCTGAAAGACGGCACAGTTCAGAAAAAATCTCTTATGCAGCGTTCACAGTTCGCGATAGCTGCGGCGATCGCCGCGATTGTCGGTGCATGGCAGAGTGCGCCCCAACGATATTGCGTGCGCTCCGAAGGCTTTTGGGGGTAAGCGACTCAATTTCATGCTTTTTCTTCCTGTAACTACAATTTCCTTAGGTACTGAAGCTTGGTTCAACTCAAGGAAAGGTGAACACAGCTTAATTGCTTTTGTTTTCTATTTTTTTTTGATTCAGGATAGAAATGAGCAAGAAGTGTGATAAGTTTATTTGAGGTAGGTTTTTATTGTTTCTTTTTTCATTCTTCGAGCTCAGACATGAGGTTATAAAGTTTTCACCTGTTGATTTTGCGTGAAATGATTAGTGTTTTAGTTCCTAGGTGAGTTTCTTTCTGTTTCTTTTTTTTTCGTTGTTTTAACTCGACTTGTGAACTATAAATGTTTTGGAAGTTGGAACAGTTCAGACGATAGGAGCTTTTGAGGCGCTTATATAAATCGAAACGATAAAAACAACAAGAAACAAAAAAAGCTCACCCAAGGGAAAGAGCTGTTCTTATCCCGACCTAAAAAGAAGTGAAACCTTGTTACCTCATGTTCCAGATCTGCTTATGCATAAAAGTCGTAACTTATCAGTTAGTAGTCATTATTAAGAGTAAAGGTATCAGGCGAGCGGTCATAATAGCGTTGGGGCGCGCCCTGCCGCGTAACAACGAAAAAAAGGAAACAGAAAGAAACTCACCTAGGAACTAAAACACAATCATTTCACGCAAAATCAACAGGTGAAAACTTTATAACCTCATGTCTAAGCTCGAAGAATGAAAAAAAGAAACAATAAAAACTTACCTTCAATGAAGTTATCACACTTTTTGCTCATTTCTATCCTGAATCAAGAAAGAAAATAGAAAACAAAAGCAAATAGGCTGTGTTCACCTTTCCTTGAGTTGAACCAAGCTTCAGTACCTAAGAAAATTGTAGTTAAAGGAAAAAAAGCATGAAATTGAGTCGCTTACCCCCAAAAGCCTTCGGAGCGCACGCAATATCGTTGGGGCGCGCTCTGCCGTGCACCGACGATCGCGGCGATCGCCGCTGCTGTCGCGAACTATGAACGCTGCCTCAGCATGAAAAGCATATGTCACCCACACTATGCTTCCTGAGGGCAAATAGCGATGCCGATGTCCCCATCATTGTAGACTTCGACAGCTCCTTTCCGAGGCTGAAAATCAAAGTAGCTCTACATGCATTTCAATGTCTTTTTGAGTGAACTATGCAATGGGAATTCCTTCCAAGTTGGCGGATCTCATAGTCACCTCGATCTCAATGTCGGGCTGTCGTGTTTGTTTACGAGGCTCTTTTCTGGTTTTTGGCCTGCTGCTTGCTGCTGTCGGTTGAGCGCCCATGGACCTCGCAGTTGATGTCTGAACAGTAGACCCGATTGCTTACGAAGAATTCACATAAGTACTAATTAACAGCAAGCCACAAAAATAACGCATATGTTTGAGTAATTTATAATGCTTGTGACTGAAACATCTTGGGTCATAAGAGCTTGCAATTTGCGGTGATAGTTGGAACACATTCCCGGATGTATAGTGTTCTGCGAGCGCGACGCCTCTTTGTAGGGCAAATCCTCTTGTGATATCTGAACTGTGTTCACAAATGTCCGAAGCTTTAATCCGAAATATCAAGGCAACTTATATAACCAAATTCATTATGAGCCCGAAAGTAGCATGGGAGCTCGACTCAGTGCACAGTGCAGGGGCCAAATGGCACCAGCGCTATAAATGGATGTTGATTGTAGTCAAGACCACCGATAATCCCTGCAGAAGAAGCCCTCAAGCAAAAAGCTTCTTTGAACTTTTGTGCATGCAATAGACAACCAATCTGTTGCGGAGATCGTCCATAGCCTCTTCTATTTTTTTTTGATGGCAGAGAGGCATATTCTACCGTACGACAAAAGTATTATTTCCTCAACGTTCATTTCTGAAAAAGAAATATAGCTGGCAACTATTATCGGCCTCGCCGAACACGTGTAACTGTTTGCAACATGTATTACTGAGGGATGATTTTCATAAAATCACAGAAAAGAAAATGCGAGCGGTATGCGGAAGTTGAAATATACAATGCAACAATCTCACCCCTTTGTCAATCCCTTCTACTTTCACATCCTTATTCTCATCGCCGCCGTATAATGGTGGCTGAAATACTATTGACTGAGAAGTACTTGATTTGTAATTGAACTCAGTTGATAACTGTCGCTTTTTTGCCGATGTTTTCTTTCAGAAGGTCTGCTTTCGCTGCTCATGATCACAAATGCAGTCATGTCACCGAATGATTCCCACTCTTCATATGTTTTCTGATGACCCCGAACATCTTCCGGCAACGAATGTAAGTAACCTCGACGGATCACCGCCTTCCGCGTCCGCCAGGATCACAGTAGGAAGATCTTTACCATTCTCTCGTAACAGAGTTGTTTTCTCTATCAAAATTCATGTTCTTGAAGACAAACGTATACTCTCCTCTCCCTTGGTCTTGGTGTTGATATGCTCGGGTCCGCAGCTGCAGTAGTGTGTCACATCCTGCGCTCAAAAGTGCACGGGAACGGAGCTGTGGTACATAGTGAGTGAGCTGACGCTTAACCATAGCCAAACGAGCTGTGTTGACGTCCTGTCGCTGATGACTGTTCTCTACCTATAATTGTGTGTTCGCTCCAGGCAGGGTACAGCATGGGGATGTGCGAAATGGCGAAATGGCATTGTGAGTACGACGCCGCCCCCCCCCCCCCCCGGAGACGTTACGACCCCCCCCCCTCCTGCTCTAACTGGCAACCAGATGAATGTTCACACGAAATGGCTTCCTGGAATGGAATCTGGACTTTCAAAAGGCGGCTCTGCTCTAAAATCTAAGCAAGAGGCTGTCTTAGCCTGAACAACAGCCAGCCTCGCATTGCCTACAATTTTGTCTTAGGTTTCAAATCGTCGTTCGACAACCATGTATAACATGCAACTTGTGAAGGAACACAATCGATCACTGATAGCAGCTTATGGTGATCACTGATAAGCTAAATTGGTGAAAAAAAATAGTTCCAAAGTTAGTGTATCAGACCCCAGATGTGCATTCAATAAATGGTGACGGGGAAATCATGAAAACATGCACGACACAACAAAGCGAAATATGAAAAACAAAAAAATGTGGAACCAAATGAAAAAGGATAACCAGGCGGCAGTCTGTCGTTCTATACTCGGCTATTATCGATTGCAATTGCGACCGCTTTTATTGGAAAACGTGAATGGAGCGCGTTGTTGGATCTGCCAACTTCCTGGGGTCTTTTCGGGGGTTTCTTTAAGGCGGCCTGCTTTTGAGAGATGGTTAGCAGCATGCAAAGGCAGTGTTCCTACTGTTGCGTTTTCTACCTAGTTGCAACCTGAATAATTCCCCGTTCGTGCAATATTTCGGATGGGTTTCGGATCGGCTAGGGGTATATCGCAAGCGGATTTTTATGCTTTACACGAAGATTACTTATTTCAAACGCAATTTCATCGGAACCAAAACCTTCATCAGAGCGCCATATCTTGTCTCTTTCCAACAAGCTTTACAGTTTTCCTGAAGACCCACTAGATCAGGAGATATTTTAGATGGGTTACCAAAAAGCTACTCTCTGAGCTACTCAAAAATTCAACTCCCTGCGTGCCATTGTCAGGATAAAAGATAAAGACTTCGCCGTTGATCAATCCCTTTGTGGGATGCGGCACGCATTCTATTATACTTCCATTCAGAATCGTCGTGGCTTATTGAATGCGATGTGGCCTATACAATGACTTGCGGTGGCCAGCCGATGTACAAGTCAGTGTTTTATCCTACCAGGCAAATCTGGTACCAATTTACCGTCCCCGGAGGGTAGAAGGCTTGGTTGGCCTGTGCGGGAGTCGACCCGGGATTTGAGCCCGGCGCCGCGCGAGTGGTAGGCGCGCCACTTGTCACTACATCACCTCCGTCTCATTGTCAGGATACACCTTCGGAAACTTCAGTGCTTCAAAACACATATTTCCCTTTAAATGAGTGAAAGAGGAGCACGGCTATCACTGATCGATTTGGTCCCAAGTGTGCGCCGTGCATTACGCTTCTACCAGAGGTGTGGAAATGTGTAAATTCTGATTTCAGGTACTTTTGTCCATGCAAGCAGATGTTTCTTTATGGTTTGGAAAGGACAATACGCACGAATCTGGTTGAGACGTACTACGCACTTACGAGTTCATGCTATTAATTGATATTTATTTGTTTATTTGTTTATTCTTGCTATTCTTGCTACGTTGCTAATTTATCATTGTGTAGTCCTCTTTACATCAGGGTCTTCTGCAGCTTTCTGTCCGTTCCATCAAACATAGCAATGACACTTTTGTACTGTTTGATGCTTAGCGAGCCTACTTCTGTGATACTTCCCACGTCCCCCGCGGCCAACAGGATCCCCTTTCTGGAGATTTCGCATGAAAAGAGGGCTGTTAAACGGAGCAGTCAAGTCTGAGAATACACTCATAATGATTTTCATTTTTTTTAACATCTTGACTTCCATAGCTCTACTCCCACTATTAACTGAAATGTCAAAGCATTGCCTGGCGCTGACTCCTCCTTGAGATTACGACCCCTCCCCCTCCCCAGCGGCCACGTAAGACCCCCCCCCCATGGGTTTCGCACAACGATGCTGTACCTGGCTGCAGGAGGTTAGTGAAGAAAGCGCATTCAATATGGCGCCGTCCGAGTCCGGCACAGCTTTCGGCTATTACTACACTTCATCCCCAAACCCCGTGCATTTTTGAACAGAGAAAGTGGCCCGCCACTACAGCAGAGGACCCATTCATCTAACACAAAGGGACCATCTTCAGAGGTCAGTGTACACTTTGTCTTCCATGCATTTGGAAACCTTTCATGTACTTGCCTTGAAAGGTATATCGAAAGGGATCTCAACTTTGAACCGTCGGCAGGTATTAGGTTGTCCGGAAAATTTTCAGCGTTTTGTATTACCATTTTTTATACATTCATTGCTGATTAAATGTCATTCTTTCTCGCGCCTCAGTAGCACATCCTGAAGAGAATTCTTTGCGCTATCTGATGGTATAACTGCCGTTTCACATCATTGCTTGATAAACCCCCTTTTACCAAGACTTTTTGAAGCATGTCAAAAGAGCAACTTCGGACGATATTTTTCTTCGACTAAAAATTGGGTCAATCCGCAATCGAGACAGCTCAACAAATTAACCAGGTGTAGGGGCCCAGTAGTGCTAGAGAAAGCATGGTGCGGCAATGGTTCGATTCGTTCTGGAGATCTCAGCCCTGAAGATGAACCTTGTAGCGGTCGACCTAAAGCAATACCTGACAAGGATTTGAAGGCGTTTGTGGAGGCTGTCCCATCAAATTGCAGAAAAGCTAGGCGTTGGCGAATCCAGTGTTGCAGATGGTCTGAAACGCATTGGGAAGGTGAAAAAAACTCGGTAAGTGGATGCCCCACAGGTGAGTGACCGGCAGGAATTGGCACGTCTCGAGGTTTCTTCTTCACTGCTTTTGCGCAAAAGAAGCGACCCGTTTTTTGGACCGAACTGTTACCTGTGATGAAAAGTGGATCATGTGTGATAACAGGAGACGTTACGGACAGTAGTTGGACGCCGACGAACCACCGAGGCAATTTCCAAAGCCGAATCTTCACCAAAAATAGGTTATGGTCACAGTGTGGTGGTCATCGGCTGAAGTGATCCACTATAACTTTTTGCCACAAGGCCAAAGCATCGCAGCAGACTCCTACTGTGAAGAAATCGACGAAGTGTACCGAAAATTGTGTCAGCTGCAGTCAGCACTTGTCAACAGAAAGGGTCCGATTCTTCTGCATGACAACGCCCACCCACATGTTTCACAAGTCACTATCCATAAATTGAACGAATTGGAAGTTGAAGTTCTACTTCACCCGCCATATTCTTCAGACCTTTCACCAACCGACATCACTTTCCAGACATTTTCCGACTTTCTTGCTGGAAAATACTTCATCAGCCAGGACCAGGCAAAAAAGGAGTACATGGAATTCGTGGATTCTCTACCATCCAGTTTTTTTCTTTGACGGGATTTATCTAATGGCGTCACATTGGCAAAAGTGTGCTGATTCGAACGGTGCCTACTTCGATTAAATCTGATGAGTATTAAGAAAGTAATGATCGTTTGAAGTGAAACACTCAAAACGCTGAGAACTTTCCGGACAACCTAATAGCTTCTCAGTTTTACGGTTGTGGCGTTGATCATCTAAGTTGTGATGCGTAACGGATCTTACTTCAGTTTAAATTAGGGGGTCATTTCAAATGCGGTCAGACCATTGCAATGAATGAATGCATACTGCCAAGATCCGTGCAGACGATAGGGCTGGTGATCGACTGGAGCGCAGCAAAGGTGGTCTTTCGCCACCGATTATGTCATCCTGGGCCCCTACAACGCTTTGGCTTTTTTTTAAGTCTGATAACGGGGCTCCTTTTGACATAACCCGGAAGAGAGGAAATTACAATGAATACGATTCTCGATCAAGCAGGAGTGACACATGACTAGAATCCCAAGAGGCGGAAGTATGATTATGCCAAACAGTACAAGTGACAGTTTTCGAGAAAGTAAGATACAAATATATAATCCTTCTGAAAAAAAGATCTTGATGAGCGAGCTTTGAATCCAAAGCTTTTTCACTACAGTGATTCTTTGGGAAAACTTAGTTGGATAAAAGATTTTCAGAGTCATAGGTGGAAGTTTAATTATGTCTAATTATGTTTGATTATGATACAATGTACACCACAATGTAGGATAAATGGACAGAACCATTGAACATCGAGTTTGGGATTTATCCAAAGCAAATACTCACCTCAGGTTCTCGTTTACCTTCAGGAATATCACCCTCAGCATCAAAATCTGAATATGAAGATGTGCAAGTGTTTCTTGGCCTATGAACCCGTTTCAGTTCCTTTTTCAGCCGCCGAAAAGATCAAAACCACGTCTCACCAAATCCTCTTTTGCGCCTCTTCCTGCTTTTTTCCCGGGCACGTCTTTCGTGGACTACTCCGATACATATGATTATGATAATAATCAAAATTACAATAATTCCTATTATGCCTATGACGATGAGCAGATTAGCGCTGAAAACTGATTCATAACCTAGTCGACGCAAATAGCTCGTATTCGAATTCTGACACTGTGCAATAGC